AAATATCGCCTCGGGTAAGTGTAGAGATTGCTAAGAACAAGAACAGGAAAGCGATCAAGAGGAAGACCAGAAAGAAGGTTACAAGATGACAACAGAGAGCGGAATGGTACAACCTGGACATAGAGAACAGCTGAGAGACCAGAGTGGAAGACGCTGGAGGGTTGGGCTGGGCAATGAGTCGCTTTAGCCAAATCTGGATAATATGTTAGTGCACCCCTTCGAGAAATATTATTTTATGAATTGGTTCGGCAAATGGGTTAGAACCACTTTGACAAACGGGTTAGCATCACTTCAACAAATGGTTGCACCCAATTCGGCAAACTGGTCAGGAAAGAGAATTAAGAGTCTGAATTCGGATAATGTACCTATTGAGGATTATCCGATTATCCGGATAGTTATCCGGATTTTGCCAACCTCTGCTGGAGGGCAACATCTTACTGTGGAAAGACATTAATAGTTTACTCCAGGGGAAAGACAAGGCATAGGAAGAAAGGGGACACAATCTTTCAAAGTTTTAGCTCGGGTACAGAAAACTGTTTACCTCCCTTGACTTTTTTTTCACTCAACATGGCTTGTTCATTCATAATAATTACTTTTGTCTTTCCTCTCCTCTTTCTGCCCACTCACCTCCTTTGCCTCCTCCTCTGGGCTCCTGACTCTTTCTGCAGCCTTTCAACTGCTTCTCCTTGACTCCTTCTTACTGCTGTCTGTCAGTCACACCCCTGATCTTCTTGTAAGTAAGATCTACACCTGGCTTTCTCGGACAAGGGTGAAAAAGTCTCGGAGGTCCCGTGTGCAAATTGCTCACGTTAAAGATCACTTGGTGGTTCAAAATCGATGAGAGTAGGTTTCGACTGCCACCCGGGCAAAATTCAAAATTTCGTACAAACTGAAAATGTTTAAGTTAATGTGTCCCGCGGGCTCATATGCCTGTATGCAGTAGCGAGCGACGTAAAACACTTATACCAAAAAAAAAGAAAAAAAAGAGTCTTCAGGGATGGATTATATTATTCATAACTTCTCCCTCGCCCCTCCACAGCATGGTCCATCTTAAGGTTGTCACGCAGATGGTCTCCATCAATAAGTTGCTGATTGCTGGTTCGTCTGCCAGGGGTGGCAAGTATTGTTCAGGTGTGATTGAAAAAAATTGTGAAATGGTATGGGTTTAACGCCCCTATCAACACTATTAGGTTATTTGAGGGGCGGGACCTCCTAGTTTAACGTCCGTCTCCGATAGGACCGAGCCAAGTGGGAAGTTCGTGTAAAGTGTCTTTCCCGAGGTGTGAGTAAACGTTCATTAAAGAAAATTGGGCTTTCTGTTTCAGACTACAAAGATTTGTCTCAGTGATGTCTTTTTTTGTATAGTAGAGGGTTTTACGGCACTCGCAACTGCATAAGGTCATATGAGCGCCATCAGTGATGTCTACTGGGAAGGTTGCTGAGCTTCCCCTGCCCTGGCTGTAATCCTTTGTTTCAGGAAATTCTTTGTGTGTTCAAACAGGTGAATTTGCGCCCTCATGGACACTTTTTCGATCTGATCATCCAGGAGGCGGGCGTCCGACCGTGCTTATACAACATCTCAGCAACAAGGACGAGAAACGTTCTTTATAAGAGGCTCTCGGGAATCGAACTCTAGTCGGGGGCTCTCGTGGCCTAGAGATTAAGGTGTTGGCCTCTCATTTAAAAGGTCCAGGGTTCGAATCCGGGTAGCGACCGAAAAATTTTCTTCTCTAAATGTGTCTCCTTT